TCTCTCTCTCTCTCTCTCTCTCTCTCTCTCTCTCTCTCTCTCTCTCTCTCTCTCTCTCTCTCTCTATCTATCTATCTATCTATCTATCTCTCTCTTCTCAGTGAGGAACTCTACCATGTATTCCATCACAATGTATACAATCAAAGGGGGAGACCTCTCTCTCTCTCTCTCAGTGAGGAACTCTACCATGTATTCCATCACTATGGGGGGGACCTACCCATGCTCCTTCCTTCCCCTTGCTTGCTCCTCTCTCTCCCCCGCCCTTCTGTCTCCATGCATCTTTCTCCGTGTCTACTGGCGTGCTTGCTTTTGTCCCGTGGCCAGAAAAGAGTTGAACAGGTGAGGTTGAGACCTTATCTTACTGTAGTCGGCTTGGCTAACTGACATGCCCATCGTTGAAATGTTTCTGGATCTGGTAAGGGTGATATGGATCCATGTTGCCAGGTGGAGAATTGGTGCTCGTTCTGCTGGGTGTTTCAGAGTGCTTTGAAGTTTGGCGAGTGGTTGGGAGTTGAGAGGAGTTATATAGGCAATTTGATTGATGTTCACTTCTGGTGATGTTGAGGTCTGCTTGGATGTGTGCTGCTTGTTGGACGGCCGAGTAGCACGTTTTTCGATGGCTTGGATGCATGCTGATTGTCGTCCAGACCTGCATATTGGTTCTGACTCTTCTGATGGATTGGCATCGTTATTCATGAGCAATGTAGGAGTGAACGGTGATTGTCATTTGCTGGTATGATTGGTGTTTCATTGTCCAGGGCATGCCTGGAAAAGGGAATTGGTTTTCTATGTGGAAGTGAATGAAGCCACTATGCAGGACATGGAAGTAGTGTTTCGCTGCCTAACAAGTGTGAACTCTGACGTTGTGTATGGACAAAGCTTATGCAGCACAAGTGGGCATGGCCTTTTCTAAAGCCAGTTGATGTTGAAGGGCTGGGTCTCCACGACTACTTTGATGTGATCAAGAAGCCCATGGATCTTGGGACCATCCGGGACCGCATGGATGCAACAGATGGTACCCGGTAAGTTAGATACTGACCATATCTATCTCAAGCCTATTTTTATAAGGAAATAGGAAAGATTAGGAGGGAAGGTTGTGCTGATTCAGTTGGCTTATCAGCTTTCACATTATTTGTTTCTCTGCTGGAAGAGGATTATCACACCTGCCATTTGGTTTCTTCTGTGTCTGGGGGGAGAATTTTATCTTCTACCCCTTATTCTCATCTTCTAACCCGTTGGCAACTGCTACTGAAGGTTCCTGAGATTGCTCTCAAGGTGGCCAAATACCGACGAGGTTTTATGACATGCTCAACGATCACACTTTTATAAACATAGAATAGAGTATGGTAGGTCTTTCTGACTATGATGTGAGGCTTCTTCAGGCCTCCACGGAGCCCAAGAGGTGGCCGTGGAGACCGGGCCTGTAAAATACCGCAAGGCCTCTGGGGAGGCTGGCGTAGGCAGTTGGAAGTAAGGTTGGATAGCCCCAGCCTCCAAGTTAGTTGCAGAGGCTGAGGACCAGGTAAGTAGTTCTGAAGGTTCTCAGCCTGGGAAGAGCCCAGTCCCAGCCAGGCTGCTGCGGCCTCCGGGAAGTAACAAAGCCAGAGGAGTCCGCAGCATTCCACACAGTCGAGGGTACTTGCTGCCAGCACAAGCCTTGCCGCAGTGCCAACGGTCAGTCCTCGCCAGTGCATTGCGGGAACAGGCGGACTTACCTGGTGATGGCCAAAAAGCATATTTGGGTGTTAAGAGTGTGCAGCATTATTAGGAGGGAGGGGGAGAGAGAGAGAGAGAGAGAGAGAGAGAGAGAGAGAGAGAGAGAGAGAGAGAGAGAGAGAGATTTGTGCCATGCACGCACAACAGCCAATCGGCGGGATGACATACATATAGGATCGTAGTAGAGAAATGATTAGAAAATGATATACATGGGTAGATGGGGGACAGGTTGATATAGGATAGAATTACAAGAACATGATAAATCTTTGTTTTCCATGGGTTGATGGAGGACAGTATAAGCCACAATCACGTGAGAGAGCAACAGAGAATTAGAGTGAAAGTGAGAGAAATGCCTGTTGTGGAGGAGGAGGCGCTGTGGCGTTGGTGTGAGGTCCATATACCATTTAAGAGCCATATCTGGGAGGTTCTGTCTGAGCCGCAAGGTGTGGCTGTGAGGCTATGCTATCTTCAGTGAAAATGGATAGTGCAGAAAGAAGGATAGGATAGGGCAAGAATGAAGAGGAGAAGACAAGGGAGTGTCCATGAGAGCTATCCTCCAAAGGAGGACTGAGGAGGAAAAGAAGGAAGATTTGCCCAATGGGCAGCAGGGAGTGGAGTCGGTGAGGGGCAGGGAGGCATTCCAATGAACACGTGAAAGAGGAGGGGAGGAGGAAGGCGTAAAGAATGAGGACGATGAGGAGAATGGAGAGGAGGAGAAGGGAGAGGATATTGTGAATTGGGGAGAAAGCTAGCAAGAACAATTATCAGCCACCATGGTGGCAGAATAAGAGAAACAGAAAGGAACAGGACAATAGGATGAGGTGAGCGGCGTTATGTCATAGGTCTTTTGTTACATACTTCAATGAGTATGGGCAGAACCAAAGATCAACCAATATAGGATGAGCATTTATGGAGCGGAAGTCTGATAACGAACTGACTCACATAGACCGACTCACACCAACTGACTTACATGGCATCACTCCACACACATACAATCATGAGATGGTGGGGTCTGGGTCATTCATAGACGATACCCAGATCCCGTACACACATACACAGATGAAAGGTGGGAGGAGAGACGAAGGAGGTGGGAGGTAGATCACACCGATAGGTCACAAAGATAGAGTCTGATGGGTCTCCGAAATGGTAGTCCAGAATGTCATATAACAAGATCAAAATGTCGAGGACCAAAGGTCACCAATGTCGGAGATAACAGAGTCCAGATGTAACCGGTGTCCAACTGTGATGCAGCCGAGTATCAACCTCAACAATCTCCAAGTCTCCAATCAGGTAAGTACCACAGTCTCGTATCACCGAAATCCAACTCTGATCTCTGTCCAACTGGATAGTCTCCAATCTGAAGAAGAAGAAGAAGAAGAAGAA